AACAAATTCTTTCAGTTTTTGTTCATCTAGGAATGTTCTCCTTTAGTTTGAAGCATATCCATCAGAACTTCATTTAGTGAGGGTCTATTGGTAAAAAAAAAAAAAAAAGTCTGAGCTTTTATGTGACAATCACTTCTTTATTTTGTCCTAATTTGTGAAGTGTATTTTTGTTGGATATTCTAAGTTGACAGTTTATCTCAGCACCTTTTCCTAATCTGTCTTCCATTACTACTGTTGAGATGCCAGGTACTGAGGTATCTAATTGTCACTTCAATGACTTATTGAAGGCATTTTTTTTCTCTCTAGTTGTTTTTAAGATCTTCTCCTTGTCTTTGGTGTTCTGCATTTTTGTTTGTTTGCTTTGTGTTTTTTTGCTGTAGTGCATCTAATTATGTATTTTTCTTTTTCCTGGTTGGAATTCATTGGAATTCCTGAATGTATGGATTTTGGAGAGGGGGCAGGGCATCTTACAGTTTTGGAAAATTCTCAGTCATTAACTCTTCTCATACTGCCTTCTCCCCATTCTCTCTTTTCCTCCTGAACTTCATCTAGCCATGTTAGATCTGTTCTGCAGCATTTCAACATCTCATGTTTCCTCAATTTCTCAGTTATGTATAACTCCTCAAATCTGTCTTCCAGCTCCCTAAATTCTTTTACTGTATCTAATATACTGTTAAACCTATGTACCCAATGAATTTTGTATTTTGATTATTATATTTTTCATTTCTAGGATTTTTTTTAAGATTTTATTTTAGAGAACATGAGCAGGAGGGAGAGAATCTCAAGCAGACTCTGCACTAAGCCTGACCTGGGGCTTGATGTCACGACCCTGAGATCATAACCTGAGCTGAAACCAAGAGTCGGACACTTAACCGACTGAGCGACCCAGGCGCCCCTCTAGGATTTTCATTTAGTTATCAGTGTGCTTGGTCATTTTTTATAATCACATGCTTTTTTCACTTCTCAAAGTTTTTAAAATTTCTGCCAACATCTTAAACGCACTTCCTTTCAGTTGTGTGCTAACAAGTCCAATATCTGAAATCTTGGTAGATCGAAATATGGTGTCTAACTCTGTCTCTGCTGCTGCTTATTATTCTTGGTACTTGGTTTACTTGTATATTTTGTGGGTTTTTTTTTTTTTTACTGTCAACTTAACTATCTCAGACTTTATTTCTGGGAATTCTTTGGGGGTGAAAATAGGTCCTTTCAAGGATGACTTATATTTGATTCTGAAGATGCTAGAAGTACAGGCCTGGGATCACTCTAAGTTCTAGACATGTGAGTTTTTGACCACTCAGATTAAATAAAGTTGGGCTGCAAACTCACATGAGGGCTTGATTATTGTTAAACATTATCAGAGAAATTGCCCTCATCCTCCTCAGCCTCAGCACTAAGTTTTGAAACAAGCAGTTTTCCCTATAGTGGGCAAAGAGGGAGTATTCTTTGTTGATCCTTAGATTGTTTAGCCTTTTGGGGTTCCAGACTTATGTGGGGGTGGTGTCCTGTCAGATGCTATACCTCAGATAAGCCCTAGACTTTCTGGTATTTCTTAGGCACTGGGATGCTTTGGCTAAAGCCAAAATTTATACGGTTCACCAAATGCCCTTAAGGAGAAAGCTGCCTTCAATGCACTATGACTTCTCTGGGTTCCCCCTTTTCACTTGAGTCCTTGATTTCTAAGTGTTCCTTACTAAGTTTCCAGTTACTGATGTGATTAACAGTATTTTAAAAAATATCTTCTTAAGCATTTTAGTTTTTTTAATTCTTTTTTTCTACTGAGAGTCTCCCTGGTAACCTAGACCACCTAATTACCAGAAACAGAAGTCCCCTAGCTGGACTATTTCCCATGGACAAATACATTTAAATCTTGCCTCAGTCTACATGTGACAGCCCTCACCAGACTGCTGTGCCAGGGAGTAAGGGGTAAAAACTATGCACGTTCTGATTCTAAACCAGTAATAAAAGCCTGAAGAACTTTCACACAGTTTTAGGTGACACCGGGGAAGTACTTCTAGAACAGTAATATGAGCATATCTGTGAACCGTTTCTCCGGTGAAACCACCATAACTGGTGAAAATTATAAAAGTCAACCACTTAAAATCTCTAGACATTGTCCTAAAAACATACACAAATGGAAAGACATTCTGGCAAATGTTCTGGCAAAGGAATAAAGGTAATGATTACCTTTGATTTTCATAAGTTACGTTTAACTGTTAAAATTGTTATAGTAGTATATAAAAGAATAGAAATAGTATACATTCCCTTCAGAGTAGTGGAGGGGAAAATGGAATGTGAAAAGAGTAGTAATAGTCCTAAAGGAAGGCAAGAAGAAGAAAAATTATAGGCAGGACATATAGCACAAATTTTACATTTCTAGTAAAAGACTGTTAAATTGTTAGGCTATAGTTTTTAAAACCTGTGTATATATTGATTCTAAGAGATAGAGGTGAAATACAAACAGACAAAAAAGCAAAATAATAGCAAAAGAGACACCATTCAAATAACCAAAAAATCTGGTGCTTTATTTTTTTTTAAACATCATACAGAACAGATTTCAAGGTAAAAGTAGAAATAAGAAGATCACCACGAAAAGTTTATTGTACCAGAAGATAGAATAATTTACAAACATCTATGCAAGTGGCAAGAAAGCTTCAAGGTATATTCCAAAAACTTTCCATATTGACCTGGAGAAACTGGTATTAACATAGTGGAAGATTTTCACATGCTTCTCTCAGTAACGGACAGCTCAGGCAGACAAAAAAAAAAAAAAAAATAGGACTTAAATGTAAACGTTACAATTTTATTAAGAGCATATTATGAATAATTTTGTGCCAATATAAATCTGATAACTTAAATATACAAGCTCCTAGAAAGCGCTGACTTAATAAAACTGGGTAGAGAAGAAAAAAGTTGAACAATCCTATTTATTAAAGAAATATAATCTGTATTTTAAAATCATCCCATGAAGAAATACAAAGTCCGTATCATTTTTACTGGCATATTCTCCCAAACATTTAAGTTACGGGTAATTTCAAACTTATATAATTTCTTCCAGAAAATGCAAAAATAAAGGCACTGAGTCAGTTTATGAGGTTAGCAGAAGTGAATTAGCAAAACTAAAGACAGCACAAGAAGAGAAAATAAATGCCCATCTTATCCATGTACACAGGTGAAAAAATCCTGAAGATATTATCACATAATGAAGCCAAGGAACCATTGTTCTTTTTGTGAGGTGTAATAATGGTTTTGTGATTTTAAAGACAACATCCACAATTTTTAGAGTTGCATACTGAAGTATATAGAGGTGAGGTGACATAAGGTGTGAATTTATGCCTTAAAATAGAGTAAGTTGCTTCTCAAATATTCTAGAATGTGGACCTGAGTTTACAGGAGTTTGTCATGTTATTGTCTCTTGTGTGTGTATTTGAAAAGTTTCCTAATACAAAAGGATGAAAAACACTGGATTATATATAATTTTCTTTTAAAAAGAGAAAGAAAGCACATACACATTATGAGGTGTCGAAAGCTAATGCCATGTGTGGACAGAAATGTGACAAGGTGGGGAATTCATTTTTTAGGCATTTGATCTGACCTCACCCAGAAGGGATCCCAAGCAAGGTGCATTTCAAGCAATGCTCGGTATGTGGCTTCTGAAGGCAGAACAAGGATGAGCTCCAGCTGAGCAGGAACATTCCAGAAGGATGGATAAAGTTCCTGGCCATCCTCTATTTCACAGCTAGAAATGGACCAGATGCTTCTTTTAGCACTGGTTGGAGTTCAGTTTAGCTTTTACCCTCCGTCACCAGGATAAAGGGAAGTGATGTACGTGGAAAAAGTCAGCGGAGTGTAAAGCTATACAACTGTATACAAATGTAAGATACTTGAAATATTATTTACAGAAGCCATTGTAAGTGTAAAAGGGATAGGGAGTGCAGTTGCTCTGGAGAACAGTCTGGCAGTTCCTCAAAACGTTAAGCATAAATTTATCATATGACCCCGCAATCCCACTCCTGGGTGTGTGTGTATATATACACACATACACAAATACACATACACTCAAGAGAAATGAAAACATCTGGCTACAGGAAAGCTGTATACAGATGTTCAGAGCATCATTATTCATACTAGCCCAAAAGTCAACACGATCAAAATGTCCCCAACTGATGGATGGATAAACAGAATATAGTGTTTCCGTACAGCGGAGTATTTATTACTCGGCAGCTAGAGAGGGATGAAGTACTGACTTGTGCCACGTGGATGGACCTTGAGAACATTTTGCTAAGTGAAGGAAAGCAGTCAGAAAAGATCACAGTTCGTATGATTCCAGTTATATGAAATACCCAGACGAAGCAAACCCATAGAGACCAGAAGTAGAGGGGTGGGTGCCAGTGGGGGGCGGGTGTTGTGGAGGGGGGAGAACGGGGAATGCGTGCTAATGGGGATGGGTTTGTTTGGGGTAAGAAAAATATTGTGTTAGATGGTGGTGCTGGCTGTGTAACTCTGCGGATAGACTGAAACCCACTGAATTGTATACTTTAAAGGGATAAATTTTACGGTATGTGAATGACATCCCAATAAACCTGTTACCTAAAAGGCGGGGTGGGGGGAGGGGTAGTTAAGAGAGAGTTTGGAACAGAATGGTTTTATCTCGTACCCCTCCTCACTCTGTTACCACCACCACCTGGGCCCTGAAGTCTTTAGTCAAATTCAGGAAGATGGAGGATTTCTTTTTTTCAAAATTTCGTTGAGAAAAGAAAATGCTGAGTCTGAAGCAGAAACCGAGAAAGCCAAGAACTGCCCCCCCCCGCCCCGGCCCGGGTGCTGGTCCCTGGTGCACCTGGATAAGGCCCCAGCCTGGAGGGAAGCGGCTCCGGGGTCCTGGTGCCTGAGCGGCCCCTACTCCGTCCGTTGCGGGAAGACGAGTACTTTCCCGGGGCCGGTTGGCTTTCACTCATCTGGTGCTTTCTCTCCCCGTCTTCCTGTCATGTTTTGTGTTTCAGTGGCTGCTTCAACCCCCAACTCCACTGCTGGTGCAGCCATGAATTCTCTGACCTCCCTTGGGACGCTGCAAGGACTGGCGGGAGCCACTGTTGGGCTGAATAATATTAACGCACTAGCAGGTACCCTAAACAGTGAGTATTTGCTGCTCTGGTGGACAGCCTCCCCCCAAATTCTCCCCCAGTAACGACCTGCAAAGGAGAGGGAACAGGGAGAACTACAGCTTGGGATGGAGGAGCACATGCCGTGCTAGGCAAATGCTGTCTACGCTCACTTTGCCTCCAAGACCACCCAACCCCACCACCCCCAGTCTCTTCTAATATGCAGAATGTGCATCCATCCCTAGGTTCCTGTGGCGCACGGATAGCTACAGGTTTCACACGGGGGTGGTTTGGGTTTGGTTGGGGTCTCTTCTTCTGAGAGGCAGTGTGTTTTAATAGAAAAATGGGACTAGAAGTCAGGACACATGGGTCCAGTTCCCAACCTGCAAAAGTCCTGAGCAAATGCTGGCCCGCCCACCTCAGGCTTCAGAGTCCCATTTGAAAATGGAAAGTTCTGGATTAGATGATCTTCCGGGTGTCCTCTTGCTCTAAAGATTCATGACATATATAGAGAAGGAAAAACGAGGCCTTGGAAAAAAGGAAATAGAGCGGAGTGCAGGGCCCCACCGGCCGCGGTACGGGATCTGTAAGCACCCACAGACAGGACTCCCCCGCCCCCCCCAAGCATCTTCATCTCTGAAGAGGCGCATGTTACCTTGGCAGGCTAAGGCAGAGTCGGGCAGCCGGCTTACAGAATCCTTTCAGCCTGAAACCTAGGGACTCACTGAGGAACTCCAGGTTCTGTCCTACACAGCTTGCCGATTTCTGCCATTTTGGATCTTTGGCTGGAAGGGGGGGTTGGGGGGGTTGGAGATAGTCCCCAGACAGAGAATAAGTCCTATTTTGGCCTTGTGCTTGGCATTGGCCTCTACACTGGGGGAAAGTGATCCTCCGCCCACAGAGGGGGACACCTCATTTGCCTTTCCCTCAGTTCAGTCCTGAGTCGAGAGTAGCCCAACCCAGGAGAGCCCGAAGAGATTGATTTGGGGGCCCAGTGACCTACCACGCAGCCCGGGCAACCCAACGCCTGCCCACTTTCAGCTTTCAGAAAGGGGTCCTTGGCAAGTTGGTTTCAGCCATGATCCAAGAAGTGAACAGTCTTTAAGGGATGATCAGATGATACAATTTTTTTAAAGCAAAAAAATCCCAATCGTTCTATACTTCAAAATCTCAAAAAGAATGCCTTGTAGTTTGATAAAAAGGAATCTAGAATTTATCAAATTTTCAAGTTTTATTAAACACTTTTATTCAGATGCTCTGAGAAAAATGAAAACTGGGACTGAGTTTTACTGTAGGCCAAAAAGAAAAGAAAAAGATTATTCCTTCCAGATAGGATAGACTTGATTAGCAAACAGTACACGAAGTGGTAACCATGTGACAACGGAATGTTTTATTCCAGTAAAACTGCCTCCAGCTCCCCACTTCCCAACGGCCCAGGAGGAGCCGTCATTGCCTTGACTCCTGTTTCTGACCTTGTTCTGCAGACGCTCCAACCCACTTCCTTCCCCTCGGTTGCAGACAAGTGTGTTTGCACACATCCCTTCATGCTGCTTCTCTTGCCCCAGGACCTAGTTCCCCTAAAACAAGGACTTTGATTTGATCGCCTGCCTGTCCTGTCCTTGGTCTGCAAAGTAACAGGCCAGTGGGAATGGCTGTCCTCCTCAGCACGTGCTCATGACTGCTTGTGTGCTGTCCTCCCGTCTGTGTGGTCCTGTCTCTCTCCATCCCAGTCTCTCGTGCTTTGCTGGTGTTTTCCCATCAGTGCCATGAGGGACTAGAGAGGGGCTCTGTTGAAAGGCCAAGAAACTAGGACTAGTCCTTGTGTGGGCTCTGTGTCACAAATTTTGCTTCTGGCAAGGACAACGGGCTTAAAATGTTTTGTTCTCTAAATTTTTTGCAATTGGGGCACAACAAGTGTGGATAGTTGACAGGGAATTGAGAAGGTGTCTCGTTTCAAACAGCCCCTACCAGACGGTGTGAACCAGGAAAATGTTTAATTGCTCATTTACAAAAATCACAAACAAAACTACATTCCTTCTGATTTGGTAAATGTTACTAGCACAGAGCTATTTAACAATCCCAACACTGGCTTGGAGCTGGTATTTTTCCTTTTCTCAAATACTAAGAGGAAACCGAAATACATAGAGTGTCCTCTTTCAGACCACCCTGCCTGAATGTGATCGTGCTGCCTATCCTACTGAATAACTCTCAAAGAAGGTACTCAAAAGACGTTACTGGAATAGAGGCAGCTTCTAAAATAGTTGGCCACAGCTTCCATATCACTGCTGTTTCCTACCTTACTCCATCCCAGGAACAATGACTTGCTACTGAAAGAATTCTCCGGTTGTCCAAAGAGAGCCGTCTCTTTCCCATGGACAAAGGAGCCAGGAAGAATGTAGGTAGATGGAATCCAGTTAATTCCCAATTAACTCATCTTTATAAAAATGTTACCCTCTTCACTGCCACAGGGCCCCTCTCCTCCCAAAATAAAGTTTTGGTTAGAAGACAAGTAGCTGAATTAAACTGCTCAAATTTGATAGCCCTTTTCTTCCCTTATACATTCATGACTGGAGGGGCTTAAAAAAAGTAGAGTAGAAGGGCGCCTGGGTGGCTCAGTCGGTTAAGCGACTGCCTTCGGCTCAGGTCATGATCCTGGAGTCCCGGGATCGAGTCCCGCATCGGGCTCCCTGCTCGGCGGGGAGTCTGCTTCTCCCTCTGCCCTCTTCCCTCTCGTGCTCTCTGTCTCTCATTCTCTCTCTCTCAAATAAATAAATAAAATCTTTAAAAAAAAAAAGTAGAGTAGAAGCCTAAAGCTAAAAGCAAAAGTTGCCAAGATCAGAGGTAAGGAATGTGGGTGGTGATTGACTAACAGAGCTTTCAGTTTTGGATTATTTGAGTGTTCTCAAGACATGTTTTGTACATAAGATGTGTTTTGTACATCTGAACTAAAACAAAATATTTTTGCAGATATATCCACCCAAGAGTCTGTATCTGACTTTATGTAGGTGTTTTAACGTAGGTCAAGTGACATACTTTTTTTTCCTTGTTCAGATCACACCATTCTTCCAAATGGCTTACCATATAGTGCTTAAAATTAGGATTTGTCAGAATATAACCAAGCACAAGTGCCTGGTGAATAGTGTTTATGGAAATACAGTTGACCCTTGAACAACATAGGTTTGAACTGTGCGGGCTCACTGATATGCATATTTTTTTTCAGTTAATACAGTAGAGTACTACAAATGTATTTTCCTTATGATTCAGTAGTCAGGATATGTGCTGACTGTCCACAGACCGTGTGCAAAGATCCTCCCTTGTTGAGATTGGCACATCTGTCATTTTGTTCCTTGTCCAAACAGCATGCATGGGAATTTAGATTTAATGGGATGAAATGATTGATCCATTTGGCTTTTTTAAAGAAAATTCCCATTCTTTTAAGGTGAGACATTTATTCAACTTAACTTTCTTCAAACCTCTGTAAACACTGTCCAAAGTTTGTGCATGTAATCAGATACCAGCAGCTGAATTGACAAGTGTTATCTTTGATATAATAATTATTTAATATAAATCTTCCTGTGATGGTCTTTCAAATTCTGCCAGGTAATCAATTACCTATTCTACCTTGGCTTTGGCAAACACATCCCCCAGAACCTCCAGGATAGTTTGGTTTTTAATATTCTCAATGCACTTGCCAGAATTTGTACCCTTCTTTTTTGCTCAAAAGGATGGTTATACCATGCAGGAGGAAAGTCCCGGGCTGGAGAGCCCTTACCAGTCCCCTCTTCCGCATCGGCACCCATTGGTGCCTCCAGTACCGTTTCCATCCTCGCTTCAGGCAGGTCAAGCCAGCTACAACTACCTCCCGCACGTGTGGCATCACTTGAAGTAAGCAGAGCCCTTCAGAAAGCAGATTTGCCCTGAGATGTAGTCCAAAAACACGGCCAAGGACCGTGAAGTGTAGGCAGGAACGGAGTGACGATGCGCTGGAATGTCACTTGGTAGGGCTGCAGGCCTCACGATGACTCTAGTCGTAAAACCCATCCCGTCTTTCAGGAGCACTGAAGTTCATTCTGCTTCTGTGTTTCAAGAGGAAAAAAAAAAAAAAAATGGCAGAAAGGTGGAAAGAGAAGAAAATTCACCTGACCTGGATGATTAAAAAAAAAAGGGAGACATGTACCAGAGAGGAAGGGAGTCCAGGGCCACAGTGAGCCCTGCAGTGAAACACCCGCCGTGTGTCCGGCCTCTGGGGAAGCTACGACGCACAGGGAGGCACACTGGCTGCGAACCGCCAGGCCCTTAGCCGACAAGGCACCAGAGATGCAGGGCTCTACCGTTCCGGTGACAGCAGCAGAGCTCCGAGCAGCCCCGTTCGCCACGATGCACACCTAGACTCCCGCCTCGGGGTAGAAGTAGAGTGGCAAGTCACCCCTCACTCCACTGCTAGAATTCCTTCCCACCCAGGGATCCGGCTTTCTAGAGGGCTGAGCCCCACGGCGTGATCGTCTGTGTCCCTAGCACCTAGTCGCAGCCTGACGGAAATGAAACAAACAGCACTGAACTGTGCCCAGCTCCTCCGGAGTTATTTTACACCCTCCTCTCACCTTCTAGAAAAGAACCATTGCTGTTTCTTTGCATTCACACAAATATTGGGAGGTGAGGATAAAATAAGACCGAAAGGAGGAAAGTGAAGTTACTCCCCAGCCTTCAGCAGCCCTACGAATACCAGGGACGGAGGAGGAGAGAGGCCTGAGTCGGGTAAATGGGATCAGCTGCTGTCTGAGGGACTGTTTAATTCGGAGGACACAGTAGTTCCAAGCTCTTTAACAGCATTTATTTGACCAAAAAAAATTAGAGCATAGAATGCTTCTCAGTAAGAAACTTAAAGCAGAGTCCACAGGACCTCTGCTGGCCGGCACCTTCTTAGCTTCGTTTGTATTTGCTAGATCCACCCGCAAGGATTTCCTTTTTCAGGAGGCTTATCATTCCATTCTTCTGTCCTTCAGAGGCTCCTCACCCCCACCCCCTGTGCGGTGTCTGTACTGAGGAGACTGTACTTGGTGACTTCACCCTGCGCCCACTTCTGTCCCCTCAAGTCCCCCTGGAAGAATACCAGACTTGAGGCACTATGCATTTCCTCTGCTGTTAAGCCATGGTCTAATTCATATCTTGTGTGTAGTCCTTTTCACCTAAGAGATGAGATGAAGTTGTCAGAGTAACCGAGGCATGCTGAGAGTACGTAGAACATTCCCCACCTGCTCCATCTTCTGTGGATGGCACGCAAGAACACTGGTGGGTGTTGACGTGATTCTGGTATTGGATTCCTCTGTATCATTTCTTAAGCATCTTTATCTGGTCTTCTGTCCTCATTAGACTTCTTGCCAATTTGTTTTTCAGTTAGTCATCTTCGCTATTTTAATAGCCCTAATCAATAGTCCTAATCCATTCAAGAGTTTCATTAATGTTTTCAGTAAGTTCTTCCCAGAAAACAGATCTTTTTTAAATGTTTTAATCATAAAGGCAACTAAAGGCTATTATGATGTCACCTCTTCCATTTCCTGAGTTCATACGAAAGTTAGCACTCTATAAAGTGTTGCTTGTTTTGACTCAGTACTCGGGGAAAATGTGGCACAGTCAGCAACCATAACAGAGCAGAAGAGCAGCCAAGATACAAAAAAACTCAAGCGCTGGCCAGCATCCAGTTCCCATCCGTGAATAGCCAAGATCCAGCTTACAGACACGGGTATCACTTCAGTTAACGGGAAAACACGACATGGAGCGCTTTCAGGGGTGCACGCTCCCGTGACCCGGATTCATATTTGCGTGTGTGTCTGCTGCTTAAGTTGGCCCCATTCTGTTTGGAGCCTTTCCCACTGAGGAAGCAGCCTCAGTTCTCTACAGTTAGATAAAGGGTCCCCATTTTTGCTGGGCTTTCATTCTTAATCAGCTAGACGAGTCTTCCTAAGGGCCTGTCCCTGACGACATCCCTGAGCTGTTTCAGGGGGCCGCACACAGGTTCCCTGGGGACAGAGCTGGCCTCCGGGACCATCTCATCAGCCCGCTGACGGAGACAAGTTTTATCCCTTTCTCCGCAAACCCTTGAGCCATCCCATGCTCCTCAGAGCGCCCAGGAAATGGATTTAAGTGCACAGCTGTTACAAGCCCATCACTCACGTTTTCTTACATGCTTCTGGGCTCTACGAAGGAAAAGGCTCTCATTTCAAAACGATTCCAGTACTTGCCAGTAGCACCGTGCATGGAATTGCAACGTCCTGTCTCACTTCGTGCCTCCGTGAAGTCTGCTCACTAGCCTTAGGGAGTGACGGCATCATTGCTCAGGGGGTTTCGTGGGTTTTGCTGTGTGTTCCCCGTTGTGACAATGTGTTGCCTCATAGTTCCGTGTTCACTTCCATGTCGGGTTCATCGGTGTGCTAGCTGCATGCACTTGCTGTTACTTGTGTCAAATGATTCTCTAACTTCCTTTGGAAAGCACTAATGAAAAGTGCTATTTCTCTTCTCTATTGTTGGGTTTTTTGTAAAGTTGCTCAAATGCTCTCAGGTATGGCGGCTCTGAATGGAGGACTTGGCGCCACGGGCTTGACGAATGGCACGGCGGGCACCATGGACGCCCTCACGCAGGCCTACTCAGGGATTCAGCAGTACGCGGCCGCGGCACTGCCCACTCTGTACAGCCAGAGCTTGCTGCAACAGCAGAGCGCCGCGGGCAGCCAGAAGGAAGGTAGGTGCTTGCCCGGGCCCGGACGGCCGAGGCGCCCGTACAGCCGGCCTCCGAGAAACTCGACGGAGCCAGCGTCCTAGGAGAAAGCCATTATTTTACTTCTGCCTTTCATGGGGTGGGGTTCGTTTTTCTCCTTTAGAAAACCTAACAGGACTAAGCCATTGGTTTGAGTCTTCTCTCCTGTCCTCCTCAGGCTCGTACTTCTTTTATGCTGTAATTTTTCATCAGTCTTTTAATTTACCTCCTCAGACTTACTTCTCACCCACTGCGTGCTTCTACGCAGTTACCTAGTAGTTGCTGCCCTCAGAAACCTGGCAGAAACCCACTCTCCCAAGTCAGCAGGGGCCGTCCACTACACATTAACTGCTCCCTAGTGGAAGGGGTCAGTCGATGGTCTTCCCAGGCATGTCCCAGGTATCAGGGCGTCCCCACGCCCTGTGGCTGGTTAGCTGGACTCTTCATAGGCGGAAGTTTCCAGGGTAAGGATGAAACGCACCATCAGGATCGGCTGGGTCTGTGTTGAATCGGGGGTCTTCTGAGGAAGTAAGTACGTGATTGATGGTCTTGCTTCTCTGCCAATGAGGCAAAGTGAGTCTCAGGAAATGAATGCTAAGAATAAATTCAAGCTAATTCTAAAACAGTTAATGAACCAGTCCAAAGAGGGAGAGCTTGTCTTTTCCTTTCTTCCTTTGGTCTCTTCTCCTTAGTAGAAATGGCTTTCAAGCAAACTCTGCACCATGATGATATTTATTCTCTTTCACACCTGTTGGGAGTATGGCATAAGAGGCTAGAATAGGGAAGTATTGCTGAGGAAGTTTGTACAAATTTCTTTCCCTTCTTTATCCTCACCCCACATTTCCAAACTGTTCTTGTCTGAGTATTTTAAATATGGTGTTCTATAAGAATAGAATGTTTTAACTTTGTAAAGTTGTGAACTTTAAAAGGGACACAGCTTTAAAGATACTCTTGTAGAACGAAGGTTTGTTTCCATTTATAAGTAAGAGATCGTTAAAAATGAGATATATAAAAATCTAAATTCTTCATTATTTCAACTTTCTCTTTATTCTTAGCTGTGACTGTTAGTGTAGATTTTTAAAAACCTGCACCACCGTTCAGGCAACTGTATTTCCCGAGGCATGTGGAGACCCTACGTCCTAAATACCCTGCCTTCCCAAAGAAGGGCCTGCACTGAGGTCCCTTGTCTGGGGTCGGACTGCCATGGTGACTGTGGTAGGAGGGGTCTGTGAGATAATGATGTTCTTAGGCGAAAACATAAAAGCCGGTTCCCGGCAGGATTCTTAAAGAATCCTGGCCACTGCTCCACTGCCCAGCAAAGCCTTAGAGCAAGCGACATGACGGATGTCACCGAGAAACACGTCACCAGTGGACTCGCCATGTACTGGTGCAAGGAGAGTGTGTGGGCCCTGAGACAACTGTTCTCTGCTGCTTTACCGCAGCTCACTGCCCCACATCTCCATGCCTTGCCTTTTTGGGATTGCCTGTGCAGTAGCTAACCGTCTGGGATTAATGTGAATAATGGCTGCCAACCTGGGGTCATTGACATTTAGGTATTGGGGTACCAGTAGCATGGTTTAGTTTTGATTTTTTTGGTGGTGGTGGTTTTTGGTTTGTTTAGCATTTTTAATCATCTCCCACCTTCTCATACCTCTCTTCTGATCACCTTCTTTTCACCCAGTTGATGTGTTCTCAAGAAATGTAAACCATCCTAATATTAGTTTAACCACAACATAATTTTCAAAGCAGGTTATACTTGGAAGGAAAAAAAAAAAAATGAATTCCACAACTAAACAGATTTTTAGATTTTTTGCTCCATGGTTTTGTCCTTTAGTTCAGAGAGTTGAAAGTCAAGTTGATGCATTTAGTCATGTACCCTAGTATATATTTTCCCACAGGAAAATGAGCCAGGCTGGCTTTGCTACTGTTTGTTGTTGTTTTAAAGTGGCTTTGATATATTCCCCAGCTAAATCGTCTGAAGGGTTATGGCATCCCTATCGACCTCAATCCAGGAAAGTTGACCACCTTTCCTGTCACTCCTGAATACTCTCGGACCTCTGTCATACCTTCCCGTGTTCCTTGATTTGCAGGAGGCAGTCACGCACACACAAGTAGGTAGAGCCTCGGGAAGGCCACAAAGCAGCTGGTGGGTGCTGGCCGTTGGCCACAGACACCCCAATGCTCTGTGCTAGACCAAGTGCCCTATCTGAGAAATACAAAATGTGAGCACCCAGCCAGCTGGGACCAACACTCTAACAGAGAACTCCAGCAAGTTAAAATGACATGTACTGGGAGAGATCCGAGGAATGCGTGATTTGTCAGCAGGTTCTTACTAAAAGCAACAGTGAGGTGGATACATAGGTGGAACCCTCAAAAACGTGTTTTTGTGTTTCGGCCCTTGGTATCTATGGCAACAGCCGCCTTCGTTGCACGGAAGAGAGGTTTTCCACATCGAGTCACCTTTTTCTCATTTTAGTGTTCACAATTTTGGCAGTTTGCAAAATCAAACTATTTCTGGGTGATGAAAACTGTGGGGTCTACACTAGGAGATGCTGGTGGCACTTTACCTGAGAAAATGGTGAATAAAGAACAGAGCCTCCTTAGATTGACCTTTTTCATAGTTTCTTGGTCCCCCCATGTGGCACAGATACAGTCGGAATGTACAGTGTTCTAGAATGCCAGGACTGTCCAGGCGTAGCCAGTAATCTGACAGAGTACATTAAGTTGCACTTTCTCCCTGGGTGGGTCCCATAAATCCTCATTTGTACATGTGGACCTTTTACTGAGAAGGAACATGAAATCTGGGTGGTGCCAGATTTGCCCAGCACACACTGCCGAAGCCGTGCCTGGCCTGGTGGCGCTCCAAACATCCCTTTCCCATGTTTTGGTTTTTCACCTAGTCATACTAAGTAAACCAGGAAACATTTGGGGACCTAAGACCTACAACTGTGTCCCTTGAATTACAGACTGCCTCCTTGGCACTGGAATGTGGAATTGTGAGCGACACAGAAAAAGTGGTCATGTTGAACTTAAATGCTTCATCTCTGTGGCTTCAGAAACTTGCCTCCAGAAGACATCCTTGGGAAAAGTCCCACACATTAGAACACTCTTTTTCTGTGGGGAGAAACTTGGTTTGACTCTTCTTTACAAAGATGTTTCTTCTCTTTTAGTTTTACAAAGTTATTCTTTCTCCAGTTTTACTTTTCTTAGACCCAAATACTAACCACCACCACACCCCCTGCGGCATCCCAGTGGGGCAGGCAGCTCTGGTTCCTCCCCTGGATGCCAGTGAAGGTTCCAGGAGTCAGCTGCCAAGGTTACTTCATCGGTTTTTGTGAGCACCCTTCCCTCCCAGACACCACGCCCCGAACTTAGAACATCTTAGAGCCATCCAGCCCTTTGGCGGGGGGGGGGCCTCTCCAGACAAGTTGGGGGGGTGGGATTGGTAACTACCCCAGGCGGCCTTGGACCTGGAAAGCCTCCTTGCCTGTTCTATGTTAGATGACTGCCTCCCATCAGGTCATTCAGATTCCCTCCTTTTCACCTTCAGATGGCTCTTGGGCAGGTGGCTAGAGAGATGGGGAAGACAAGGAGGAGAGCTTACCTCTCTAACCAGTGTAGCTGAGAGGACCTTCCGTACTCTGCCCTTGCTTCCTGTTTCTCTGGAAAGTGACGTCTCTGAGCTTGGTCTCTGCCTAGCTTCTGCACCTTGTGCATTCATTTCCAAGGCTAATCCCCAGTGGTATAATTCCTATCACAGCTGTGAAACTCTAGCTACCTATTTTTCCCTGCCTTGACTCACTGCCAGTCATTTCTAATAAAAATGATTATTAGACTGTGTTAAGAGATTTGGCAAATCAAAACTGGATGGATAATTAGGTAAATGATTGAGAAATCCAAGCAACATTACTGCTATATCCATTATTCTAAATTGCTGCAATTTGCTTAGAACACACAGGATACTCTCAACTCCAAGAGATCGTCTATACATACAACAGAACACAGCCACCCAGGAAAAACCCACTTCTGCGTTCTCCTCCCCACCTCTACCCCATGGGGACCACCCTCACCCCCCAAGAAGAGGAGACTGAAAATATGTACACTAAGCAAATGCGAGCCACAGAAGATGATCAGTGAAAAGACAGCTATTGCTGACCGAGTGTCTTTGGAAATCAGGAACATCTGAAGGATGATTCCCGTCCTGAAAGACATACCAGCACTTGACATTTATCCATCTATCTCATTCCCTTCTAGTATGAGAGAGAAAGGCAAATGCTTAGGCTATCTGTTGTTAAAAAGCAGTCCTAAGAAGAGGCCTTGGGAACTAAGAAGCGAAGAATACCTTACTCTGATTTTTTTTTCCTCTTTAGGTCCAGAGGGTGCAAACCTCTTTATTTACCACCTTCCACAGGAGTTTGGAGACCAGGACATTCTGCAGATGTTCATGCCTTTTGGAAATGTTATCTCTGCTAAAGTCTTCATTGACAAACAGACCAATCTGAGCAAGTGCTTTGGTATGCAAAAGAAACCAAGCCAGAATATTACAGTACATTCCCAAGTGTGAGGAGTCATGGGAAGGAAAATGTAAATGGCAAATATTTGAGAAGTCCAGATAGGGCCTTCCCTGGGTGGTGCTGTTTCCTGGTGTTCTGGATCCATGTAAGCAGATCGGGCAAAGTCATTTAGTCAAAAGCAGAGGAAGGGGCTACATAAAAAGGAAGGATCTGGGAAATGAAACTAAATGCCCATGCCTTAGATGATGTTGTGTACTGTGCTACTCAGGGTCTTACTGCACGCGGCTAGTCATCTTTCACTAGTTTCTTCAAGCCCCACTGATGGAACCACGAACTTGAGCAGAGGGAGATAGTTAATGGACCATAGCGTAGTTTAGGCGATCCTGATACAGAGTAGTACTGCAGACATTCTGCCACGAATTCCGTAGCCTTCTAGGTGCGGGAGGCTTCTGGCACTTGTGGATCCGGGTAGCATGTGGTATGGGAAGGCTTCCTACATTCTCACATACCTTCACAGTAGGGGTGTGGCCAGGCTGCCCACCACCCTGCAGCCCCCCAAGCTCGGGACGGGGAGTTGATGCCTGTCACGGTCCCGGGAAGTGCTGCATTATGCTGATTCGGGAGCCAGAATTTGGGATGATGGGCTCTGCAGGGCCTGCCCGAGTGGATGCAGAGCCCGGAGATGCAAGCATTCAGAGAACGCTGGAAAACCCAGGTCCTCAGTGGCCTGGGCCGTCGTGCCCTCCTTCCTCACGCAGCCCAGACTCTGCCTCCTAGGGCAGTCTGTGCTCCCTGAGAGAGAGGCACACTCTCCACTGGCCCTAATGTTTTAGAAGCAGGAGCATAGCGTTCATTAAATCTATTTCTTGTTTTGCTTTTTGAACCCCTTTGGTCTCCAAAGTGGCTTAGAGGCTAGAATGTTCAGAGTATAGATTACTTGCTTGGCAAGTTCTGGCCCAGTCTGAGGTTGAACATTTGCCTTCATCATTCCTCCAGTCTAGTAACTCAGGGAGGGAGTAGGCAGTAACAGCACAAAACAAAGTGGAGTAGATCCAGACCAGAGGAAATACAAAGAGAACTATATGGTATGAAGAAAAGCATCAAAGGTGGTAGGAGTGGTACTCAGACTTAGTACCGGCTAACTGGTAATGGGCAACGGGTGTAGAGAGAATGTTTTGGCTTCTAAAACCCCATTATCGTTAACGTCTTTCTGATCTCTGTGCCATCATCCAGGAAGGTCTGAAGCCTCTGTTGTTAGGGGAATTAGTATGTCAACCATTGAAAGTCACTGTTTTTACCCAAGTGGCCAGGGTGTCAGCCTGAACCCACCCCACTATCGCTGCTGCTATGACAAGTACATAAACCCCCTTGTGATGGCGCACCAACAAGTGAAATGGAAAGGGAGTGGTTACATAGGGGGTGTGTGTGTTTCGGTGGGAGCTTACCACTCGGAGCTTCCCTGCGCGAGGTTATGAGACAGACTTTTATACTCATCACTAAGCAATGTCCTGGGCTTATTTGCAGATCAGAAAGGGATTGTGCTTCAGGGTCTGATTTTCAGAAAAACAGTTAGTGCCTTGAAAAGAGATTGTATCAACCAAGGTGTAATAATGCAGGCTATACCGATGAATGTCAGCAGACAAGTGTATTTAGCACTATGCACTGTTTTCAATTTTTATCAAAAGCCGCAGCATCCCAAACCTACATTTCTCAGTTAGCCAGCCTAATTTGCGGGGGGGGTCCCAGATTTGCTAGCCTTAGGTAGCCCATTCTTTCATGCTAACCTCTTGGCCGGGTTTCGTTATCCATTTCACCCTTGACCCATTTCCATTCTTTAATCATCTTGCTGCTTCTGGGTAACGACCTAGAAGGAAAGGAGAAAATCAGAGCCAAACTCTTGGATTCGAGAGCACATATACTGGGAATTAAATTTAGTAAAAATCTGTACCACCATTTTGCAGTACAGCCTGCCAATGAAAAGCTTTTCTGCATTATACCATATGCTCATTTTTATCGGCTGAGAACTCTGCTGAAGGTATATTTATGTCCTTTTCTTCCTCCTCCAGTTTGTAAAGGAATTTTCTCTTTAGCTTTAGACTTTAATAGCAGATAGTTGAAGCTTAGTATAGAACCTTCTGAACAGCTGATGTTGAGAACTGAAATTCACCCAGTATAATAGCTTCCTTTCAACACGAGAAGTAGGCACAGTACAAACTCAACACCTTTACATCAGCATCACCTAAAGAAAGTTTTGCATGTACCCTCCTACCCCCACCGCCAGTGTTAGAGCAAACTGTGTGATCAGAAGTCTGTTTCTGGGTCTTTGCAGAGCATCACTGGCCCTTTCTCAAAAGCATACCCTCCCTGCCATTTTGTACAGACAAAGATACTGGGAAGTCTGTGAGGATGGCTCTTAAGCCCTAAGCTGTTCAGACTCTTTATTCTTAGGGGGTATAAGGTAGCAATTTCCAGTCTGTTGAATGCAGTGGAGCTTTGAAAATGGAAGTTGAGATGATAAGAAAGGGCCGGCATTTCCCTTGGGTCCATAGGTCCCTCTCAGAAATAACTCCAAAATGTTAAAAATCAAGTATAAATTATCTTAGAGTTAATTCACTGACCCCATCCGACAGTCGAACAGGTGTGGGCTGTGTGGACACAGACGGGGAACTGGAATGAGAGTCGGGGTGTTTGCAGTGTACCGTTACCAGCCCTTCATTTAAACCACACCTGCTTGGGACATGTGAGCCTCTGGGGACCCTGCGAGCCCCGGAGTATCTATGCCTCTGCCTCTGTGAGCACCACCAGGGGTTCTGTCCGAAGGATTCCAAGGGGCTTGAAACACAGACTTGACCGAAATCAGTAAACAGACCAGGAGTCTGAGAGTCTGAGATTTCGCTTTTCACAGAGGAGGGCGTTGTTGTCATGATACCAAATTCCCAGTCCGACCAGCTTTTTTCACTGTTTCTCAGTGGATGTTCCCAGGGGTGGCCGTAAAACACACCCCGTCCGTCCACAGCCGGCACACACTGAACTGAGCAGAGCTGCTCCCAGCCGAGCCCACAGGATGTGCCCACGCTGCCCACCACGTACAGTTACACTCTCCAGCCCCCGCCCCCCACGACGTCCTGCTCCCTCCTGTCTACTCCGCTGCCTCTCCATGTTGATTGCCACCGTCCTTCCCCTTGTGTCTTCCAGGCTTTGTTAGCTACGACAATCCTGTGTCCGCGCAAGCTGCTATCCAGGCTATGAATGGCTTTCAGATTGGCATGAAACGCTTGAAGGTCCAGCTGAAGCGCTCCAAAAACGACAGCAAACCTTACTGATCCTAACCCCAGAGGCTCCCTGCTCTTATTTTAGCTTTCTTAGGGTAAGTCCCACAAGCCAGCCTGTTCTCAACAGGAAAGGCAGAGGAGGACCACATTGCCAACTTTTACCAAGAGAGACGGTTATTTTTACAATAAGGCCTCCATGTCCCCTCCCCCGCCCCCCACCCAGTTCGCCATAATTAAAAACTTGGGCTACCTTGTTTCTATCAAGTAAAACTCCTCTTCCAGTTGTGCCACTGTATTCTCCTTTGTTTTGCAATTTGAATCTCCTTTTACCTTTTTCGTTTTGTTCTCGTTTTTTGCTTTTTTTTTTTTTTAAAGAAAAATACACATAAATAAATGACATCTTGAGAATTTAAAAGGCAAACAAAGGCTAACGTGCAATTCTAACTCTGAGACCCCTGGTGCCCCAGAGCACTGCCTGGTGAATTCACCCCTCCTGTCCGCGCCCATCCCTAGGAGGGCGCCAACCGTTTAGAGGTTAAGGTGGTGGCCTAGCTCGAGAGAGAAGCCAGGAGAAGCACTTAAAACAATACAAACGTCTTTCCACTACATTTGGTTTGTTTTAACAAGTAGGATTTTATTTTAGGGTTCAAAGAAACATGACATTTATTGGTCAGATTATTACACTGGTTGTCTATTTTGTTGTTTTAGTTTTTAGAAAGGATTAATGTAAAAAAAGATTTAGAGATCTGTTTCTTAAAGCTACAGGGTTTAAAAATAAAATAAAAATGAGTGAAAATACTTGATGTTTCTTGAAAGATAAATTTAATAATAAATAAATAATACATAAATACATAAATAAAAAAGAAAGCCACAGGCCTGTAAATTTTATTTGTAAAAAAAGCATTTCTATTTTTGTACAAAATTTTTACTGCCTCAGAAATAATGGAAGTTATTTATTGCCTATTGTTAACTTATTGGGTACCTAAAGAGCAGTTCTCTGTGCTAGCTAGATCCTTTTGAAGTAGTCTCTAGAGGAATCGTTCTAGGAATGGGCTTTTTTTCACCGTTGAACCCTAGGCCTACAGTTCATGCTTTTCCCTCTTGTTGTTCGTATCTGTCTGACGATTTTGTTTGTAGCTTCCATGATCTATCTAGTTTATAGTTCGGTCGTCTGACTCTCCCCCATATGTTACATCCGTTGAAACTGGATCCTCCCCTCCTGTCCCTCGCCAGCCCCACCCCAAAACTCCTGGAATCCATCCCCTCTCCTCCTCCGGATGGATTCTCTTGGGGTTCCATTGTGCTGTGGATAAAGATTGTAAGAAATGCAAATTACGGGAATGGCTCGTAGACTCCCGGGATGACCTAAGATTTGCATTAGTTTTTCTCCTGCACCCTTAAGAGTGATTTTGTTGCTGCTGCGTAGATTCTGTGTAACTTTTTACTCTCCCTTGTTTTCTCCCTAGACATCTTCATGCCCGTTAGTTCACCGTTTGCCTAGCATGTCCCTGTGGCGTCTCAAAAAAAAAAAGTTTCATCGTCCCGTCATTGTTTCTGATGTCTTTCTGACCTCACATCACATTTGGTTCTCCTACTGACCTTTGATCTAGTTTGACCTTTGAAATTTGCATGTGACCTCATCTAGCTATGAATTCTGGGAAGTCAATGTGAAAAACATTGCTGCATTCATGCAAGACTGAAATTTATTATTAGACAAATTAATTATAGAAAAAAACCTGTGGCAAAAACGTTTCTTTCTTATTTTTTTTTTTCTTTTCATAAAACAGACTTGAAAGTATTATACAGGGATTGGCATTCTTCCCGGTCACTGGTAACAATAGCAATATGTGTCCAGGGACACAGAATGTTGGTTTCTAACAGACTACTTCCAAAAACAGTTTGAGAAAAAAAACTGTCTGATTTTAAGTCTCTAGAGGTCTGTAATAGTTTTTACATTTTTCAGGCAGTGTAAAGTTTTTTGATAAGGCCATTTTAGGTGGCTCACTTTCTCATTAAGATATATATATAGAACCACTTTTTGTAGATTAGTATAAGAAAAATATTTACCCTGTTTTGGGGCAAATGCTACCTATTTGTGTCACCTTTTGCTGAACTGACTCACAGTTAGACAATCCATGGTTTAATGCACATGAAATTACCTATATTTTATACTGTTTCAATGTACAGGAGAAAGGTTACTGTAAACTGTGTTATGTTGGTGCTTCTGTGAATTAAGTTGTGGTTTCAATCATGAGTCTTATGGTCTTAATGTTCTCTGTTGATAAGACAAGGTTAGAATTGGTTTACTTAAAGAATTTCAAAAAAAAAAAGTTTGCTTAAAAAAAAATTTCATGTGAGGGGAAAAAAAAAAAAAAAACCTATTCCAGAATAAGTTTTGTGTTGGCTTGTAAAGCATTGATGTCATTTTTTTTATTGTGGACTATTTAGATGTGTTTGTGTTCAGCAAAATGTGATTTTTTTTTTCTTTTAAAGAAAAAAAGTGAAAATATATAGTGCCAAATTCCAAAGGTACTTCCTTCCTAGAGCTTCAGTGTGTTTCTTGTGAGAAGTAATTTGATAACATGGGTATTTTATTATGTGTTTTGTATAAATCCCTAATATTTAAAAAACAAAAAACAAAAAAAAAGAGGTTAAAAAGTTTGTTAACTTGCTATCCTGTGGTCTTGTTGCCTGAAATTGTTATTGTTTGTTATTTCTCTATGATGTTTTTTGTAAGACATTGTATAAGTGCCCATGTCTCACTTTTTTAACCGCTCTGCACATCAATGCTGTGATGGCAACCTCACGATGTATTTCCTTCATAATATATGGAAACCTCTAAGGTGAGAAAGTTTTGAACTTCTAACCCTTTCTACCCAGAGCTGTCTGGAGCGTTGGTAACTTTTTATACCCTTGTCATTTCTGTTTGTTCCAGGGTGTTTCTAATTTGGATTCCCCACCCCTCCCCCCCATACATCTTTGAGTTTTGTCTTTCCTACTTTTTTTTACCCACTGGTTGAGATCCAAAAGAAAAAAAAAAAACTCCACTAGGCAAATCTGAAGGGAAAAAATATATTTTCACCCTCTCCGTTTCTTTTTTTCCTCCCTACACCTTTTTTTTTTTTTTTTTTAGTTTTGATTATTTCTGGTCATTTTAAAAAAACTAATGTGCTGCTGAAATTCCTTCTCTGGTTTTAATTAGAAACAGTTGACTGGATAAACCTTCTAAGGGAGATGGTAGGTAGATTCAGCACCTACATTATTAACCTTAAATTCTATATGCTTTTGAGATCAGGTGTAGGGGTATGTTCTAGTTCAGAATATTTTCATATGCCTTCCAGTTAAACGACTTTGTGATGGGGTAGTATTTTAAAGGATTTTGTTTCTTAAATACTCCCAATTAATGATGTTTCTAATCAGCCACTGTGCTGGGCATTCTCTGATCCCAGGAGATACCTCTGATTAAGGTGCCTGGGGTTAGAAGCTGATAGTCCTTTCTTTCCCTGCCTTTTTGTTAATTTTATTAATTGAAATCATTGAAAGGGGACTGACCATCTAAGTCCAACTCTGTTCTTTATCACAGTTACTGACCAAATACCTAGCACCAGATCCTGCTGCCACTCTATAAAGTGCCATATTACTTTGACTTCGACTTCACGTTGAACAGAACTCTCACTGTCTTGACAAACCCCAGTGTCATCCCTGAGGCCCCAACACAAACTCCTGCCTTCTTGAAAGCAGGCCCTGGAAGCGTCTTTGTCTTTAAAGGAGTTCAGAAACTGCTGGCTCCCTTTCCTTCCTCCTTTTCCCACTCACCACTCTGTTCAGTTTAATGTGGACGTGATAGCCCTGGGATGGAAAGGACTAGCCTCTAACGATGCAAAAAAAAAAAAAAAAACCACAAAAACTAAACATAAAACAAGTTTCCTTCTTATAGCACATGCACTTACAATGAAATGATCTGTATTATCCTCACACGTGTTTACTACTGCTGGGGCCTTCCTTCATCCTTTGAGGGCTATTTTGTACTTCCTGCAGCCATCAGCTTAATACCAGGAGTCCGCACACATCTCTCTCTCGCATACAGCATAGGGTGGTTTGTGGACGCACAGCACACAAGAGAACACCACCATCTGAATTTCAGACTGTCCTCCTTTCACCCACCTGCATCTCCCCCAGAGGAGCTTGAATGCCGGTGACAAGAGGCTCAGGATGGGCACTTCACATTGGGTGTTTCTTATTTTGCAGGCGACCAAAACAGTACATTTCAGGGGAAAGTCTTTTTTTTCCTGCATGTTTGCATTGTTTAAAAGCTGACCCTCCTCAGAGACAAATTGTCCTTTTACTCACTTTATCTTTTACTATCAAAGGAAAAAAAAGCTGCAAGGGTGCAAAGGGCCTGTGCCAGAAGGAAAAACACACAGGGAAACTGCTTTTTTTAAAATCAAGTGTAGAGAATAGTCATTTTTACACTAAATTAGAGAATTGTGATAAAATGGCAGTCCTCAAAGGTGTAACAAGTTCATCTTTCTTTCACCATAGGGGTTATAGTTCTTTGGCTTGTGCTACTCTGGACTCATTTTACTGTTTGTTTTTATTATCTTAAGTGCTAATTAACAAGAAGAAATAAAATTTTAAAAAAACCTGTAGTTTCATTACCTTTTTGAATAATGTCATACAAAAAAATGTATTTGTGTTTTTTTGTGCTGTGAGAATTGTTGTTTGTAGATTAATAATATCATTTTGTTTAGAATTACAAAATAGTTTTTAAATATTGTCTGAGAAAAGCCAAAGTTAATGCAACCTAGTGGAAACTGTAAGACCATTTACGAGTATTGTTTGTTTTATTGATGCATTTGGATTTTGTTGTTTGATGGAATTTGAGCCAAAAAAAAAAAAAAATACGCAGGCTTTCCTATTTCTACAACTGATTGTACTTACGCATTTTGTACCAGTGGAACTTTTTATACTGGAGATTAAAAAAAAAATGGAAATTTTTGTGGCTTACTCTAGTGGCCCCTGACTGATTCCAGGTCTGATTTCTGGTTGATAGAAAGAAAGTTGCTTTTCTTTTGAGAATTAAAAACTTTGGCTTGATTTCTTTTTTCCCTTTGCTTATATCTAGCATTAGAATTTTGTCTTAAAATACAGCGGTAAGTTTCACTTTTTATTCTGTATTGTGCAGTTACACAATAAGGTAATTAGATTTAGAAATACTCAGTCACTTTAAGTGGATAAATGTATTAGTTACAACTTTAGGGGTTTGCTTTTTTGCTGTTTAGATCAAAGTTTTTTCTGATTCTTCTGTCCTCATTGTGAACATAACCGTGTAGTTGAAACAGTCAAACTTATTTTTGTAACGTATGTTATTGTGTGATGCAGTTTTTTGCTTCTGTCTCCAATATTAAACCATTTTCCTAATACTTGTTTCTCTCTCTGCGTGTTGTATTGTTGGTAGTCATTATATGTTGGTGATACATCTACACACCTCACTGTTTCACGTATCTGTTTTTTTTCTATATGTTGTGTAAAAAGATACAGTCGATTCCACCTAAGTGAATATCTGATTTGGGGAAAAGGGGAAAATGCACACCAGCCACCTCTGATTTCTGTACAACAGCCCATTCTAACCACCGCTTCCAAGACTGATACTTATTTCTGTGGTTCACCTAAATAACTGCCTGCAGAGTTGGATTTGCCCAGACCTCTTCCAGTCTTCTGACTCCACTGGTACCTGCCCCCGCCTCCCCCCCCCCCCGCGGATGCAGTTCCTAGGGCTCGCTGCTGCGTCACTTTAAGAAATATTAAGAGGAGCAGAAGCAGAGCTAGGGTTCCTTCCACCTCCCCACAAGTCTAAAGGTGTATCATTACCAACTCTTCCTAGGGACTAACCGCGTTTTTCAAAGAGCTGAGCTCTAAGGGAAGAAACGACACACTGACCTGGTGAATAGAGATGTGAAAGGGTTAAACTTAAGTTTACGCGTTCCTATCAGTCACACCTATGTATAGAAAAGTAATTTAAATTATTTCTTTTTAAGAGCTGATTGAATCCAGGAGCAGCTTTAATTATTGAAAATAACAGAAAATAAAGGGACTACTTCCAAGTGCTCAAAAGGAAGCTCTTACTTGGTGAGGTGGGAGGGGAAGGAGGTAAAGGTTCTCATGCTCACGTCTTCATGATACATCATCCATTTCCAAACGAAAGCCAAGGATGCCATATGCATCCACATAACTCCCTCCTGAATGAACACCTTGTCCCCCACTATCACCCCAACCCCAGTTACCAAAAGAGAACTAAAGGAACAACTATTCCTTGTATGCCCTCTGAAACCGAAGCTCCCAGCCACCCTCCCGTCTCTGCCCATCTCTTATGCTCAGGAATCGGACTGCTCTCCAAGTGCTCTTAAAAGATCCCATTGATGTTTGCTCCCTCTGTCTTCTCTCTCCTTCCAGCTTTTCAGACGCACAAACTGTCTGACTCAGGCCACCCTGCACCGGGCAGCCTTCCTCCCGCTGCCAATGAGATTTTCCCCGCAGGTGCTCAAGCCCTTCACCCTCTGGTTTCGGCGGCCCCTCTGGCCCCAAATGGTCTTTTCTAGTCGGCTCAACAACAGAGGGACCTGGTGAGGTGGAGGAAAGGAGGCTCTTTTCCCCCATAGGCCGAACACCTCAGTGAAGTGACTTCCACCAGCTCCAAACCTGCACAGATGGGAGCTGACTTCCTGCCAATAGTTCTGCTTTAAATCTCATAGCCTTCATCAGATTGCCTCTGAAAACCACTGCTTACCTTAGTGGGGAGAGGGCGAAGGGTGTGATTTCCTTTTTTTTTTTTTTTTTCTTGATGGAGGGTGTGAGGGAGGGAGAAGGGGGTAAAGAGGGTGATCAATTCTTTCCAAGATGCAAGTGTTTATTTTTAAAATCTATAATACAAGAATGAATATATATATCCATCCACCATTTGGTATAAGGCAAAATACTCATGCTAAGTAAAAGAAGGGAAAGACAAAGCCAGTTTTTTTGTTGTTGTTTTTTAGAAAAACAACAAAAATCGTAATTCTCCAAAGAAGGGGACAAAAATGCTAGTTCCCTTAAGCACTCATGACTGTAAAGTTGGTCCCTGCTTAAATTCATTCTTATCATTTTGATTCTGTAAAACATCGCTGCAGTGTTAGTTAGCAAGGTGTATCTGTTTGCCACCCACGGACCACCTTGGGAGATTACAGGATTGTCACCGTTTACTGTGCTGACGGCAGCCCATGACACTTCCCAACAACCCACGGGCTGGGCCTCTCAGCTGCAGGCTAGGAAACACAGTGAACATCGATGTACTGTGCAACATTCCTGATAAGTGAATAAAACATTGTGACCAAGCAATCAGCTTATTCACTTATCAGGAATCGACTGTTCTGCTAATTCGCTGTTTTTGTTTCTCATCTCTGTTGTAGCTCACTACTTTTGCTGTGTTCTGTTTTCTCCTCTCATGCTTGGGCAAAATCACTGGGAATATTATCTTCATGTGACCATAAAACGTTTATATCGAGTGAAATGATATCTTAACAAAATCTATGCACTTGCTATCAGGAACACAATACTGGATGTGTCTTATATATATTGAACTATATAGTACTCGATTTCTTAAATAAAGCTTAAGAAAGGACTCTGTTGTGTGTAAAGTTAATGTGATTATTTTTCAAGGCAGTGTTTCTAAGGGGTATTTTTGTTCTTTTAAGTCTTGAGTGATACAGGATATTTTTCATTAAAATTATATCACTGGCTTTATGACTTAATATTCAATAAATTTTCTTTGGAAACAAAATGGAGTGGGGGGAAGTTCTTCCGAGCACATTTTAGCAAGAGACATCTGGAAAACCATCCCCTTCCTGGTGACCATGGCAAACCTCTACCCAGGGCACGATGGGTGGCAGGAGAGAGCAATCCCTTCACGGCCCAAGGCCCTTGGAAAGCGTCTAG